ATTTTTTGGTTCTTACAACAAATTTAAAAACAATATTTTTATAAATAATTTGAATTGAGAGTTGTACTCTATGTTTAATGCTTTAATATTCTTAATATGTTATATTCTCAGAAATAAATAATTATGAATAATTTGTTATTTTATTAAAATATCAGTTTGTTGTTACATAGACATGTAGATTACTTTCTTAATTTAATAATAACTATAATTTAACTTAACAACTTAATATATAACAAATTATAGTTATTTATCTACATTTTATCATTTACAGGTGATCAGTATTTTGCTTGCTGTATTAGTAATAAATCAGATGAAGAGAGAAAACCGTTCATCACAAGATATTAATGAAAGCCATCATACATATCTGTGATTCTATTTTATTTCATTTTATTACAAAGTATTAAATTTAGCAGATATTCTTTTTAAAAATGAAATGTATAAGTATATGAATGCCATGAAAGAATAATTAATTAAATAATTGTTGCCATATTTCTTTATCTAGAAAATTATACTTATTTAAAAAGTGTTCAAGGTCATAGACAGGAAAAAATCTTGGAGTTTGAACCCTCCCTATTTCTGTACCATATCTTTTATTGAGTGCTAAATAACTGCATTTTCTAATTTGTCATGCCTTTAGGAATATAGATTTATTCAATTAATCGATTTATACATTTACCACAATGACTATATGATGTTTATCAAGGAAATCCAAGTTACAATAACAATGATATTTCTAATTTCTGTATTTTCCAATATCAAGATATATACTGTATATTAATTTTAATACAGTTATATTTAAAATATTAACAATGTAATTATTTTAGAAATTTAATCATTTTGATCAGTACTGACATACAATGTAGAAAATTGGTAATAAATTCTACAATTTACAGCTTTTACAATTTATAATTCAAAAGATGTTCTAAAGGACTTGATATAACATTAATGATTTCATATTATTAAAACATTTTCATTAATTAAAAAGAAAGATTCAAATATTTTAAATTAACAAAGCATATATGAGATGAGTGAAATAAGTAATTTAAAAAAGCCAAAGTTACTAGAATTATAAGTACCACTTTAAAACTGAAATAATTTTTTTTTGCATTTTACCCAGAGTGGAAATAGAGAATAAATTTCAAATTATGTTAATTTTTTTCACCGCGTTTATAATTATTTGGATATTAACATGAATAAAGAAATAAATTTTTCATTTTTAAGTCATTTTGCCCTGTAGACTTAAGAGGGCTTTTTTAATTATATCCATCATGGGTTTGACCAGTCCACAATGGTGCAGCCAAGGCGAGAGATGGAGCTTGATATATCCAGGATGAACAACTCATGAAAAATTCCTGAGGTTGCTTGTCTGGATTTGATCCTGGATCCCCAGTGCAGTACGCTGATGCCTTAACTATCTCAGCCATCTGTCCATCAATGTGAGATATTTTATGATGCAACATTAGTCATGTTAAATAATAATTTTAAACTAATTCTGTGCTACACTGAATAAATTAGATGTGTAATATTCCACCCAAATAGACAGTCAGTTATCTAATCAATACTAAGATTGTGACTTGAAAATTAATCAATAGCCTAATGCATTACTGATTTTATTAATTTGTCCTCAATCATGCTACAGCTAAGTGTTTTTGTAAGTGTGGAAAAACAGAAATTTTGTATTATTTATTTTCTATAAAATATTAAATATTAGTATATATTAAAAATTGTTTATATTCAGTTTGGCTAAAGATAAACAAATGGTTCAAAATCATTTATAAGGTATATTAAATTTTGGTTTAGCTGCTAAGTAAATCTTATTTAGATTCTAATGTTTTAATAATCAAACTATTAAACTATTTTGTATTATCTTGGACTACATTGTGGCTAACTAATAATTAATAACTAATGTTTCATTATTTTTCTATGAATAAAACTTTTAAATAGTTAATAAATTGAAAACAATTAGTCATGTTCAGTAATGCATAATTCTTCGTAAGTTTAACTATGCTGTAATCCTGAATTTGTTTATAACTAATTCTTGATTCAGTCCACTTCTAGAATTTTAAGTAATTCAGTCAGCATACGTTTTGTATGCTAAAACTTGCTACTGATTTAATCTTTTTTATTGCATTATTATTGCCAGTACTACTCACTTGAAAAATAACCATACCTATTGGTTTAAGTATTGTATATATTTTTTCTTCATTGATGATAAAATTATGGCTACAATAAATGAATAATCTCTTTTATTACTACCTGACTGACTTGGGATACCATTCAAAGATACCGAGAATAATTCTCTGCTCTGCCTACATCAAATAGATTTCTTAATTAGCATTCTGCATTCCTGAATATGATCCTGGAATTAAATTAGTGTTTTTGAGTGTATAACTGATGAAAAACTTTGATAAATTCATATATCTAAAAATTTGTTATATATTAAAAATATGTATCAGTATCAGATATTTCTATAAATAAATCCTGGGCTTTTTATGAATATAAAATATATTACATTCATAAAAATTTTTCATGTAAAATAGTGATAATAAAAGATAAGTCTAGGCTTCCAAAACTTTATATATTAATAAAAATTATGTCATTGGTCATAAGAAAAGTCATAATATTCATCAGCTTCTTCATAGTTGTGCTTCAATATCTTGATGATATTCTCTTTTGTCTTCGTTTTTTTTTTATTATTTTCTAATTCTTTAGATTCTTGAGATTCACCATTTTCAACCAATGTTTCAGTTTAAGCTTAGTGTTGAGTTTCTCTTGTAGTATTTAAAATCCATTTTTCCTATTCCATAATCTTCAGTTTTCAAATTTTCTTGAAATTGATTCTTTCTTGACGCTGAAAATAGGATAAATTAATCATTATTGATATATTCATCATAACGATGGATATTCTATTACATTGAAAGGGTGTCTGCATTTCCTGTCCTTTACTTTAGAATTCTCTGAAATTAGTAAAGTTCCATAAGATTATTTTATATGCTAGATAAAACTATTAAACATTTTCATAATAAATTTATTTGGAATGAATTAAATTCTCAGACATTTAAACTGGGATGATAATAAGTTCTATAAATTTGATTGTGATTATTTCATTTATTATTCATTTTTATTGAAACTGTCTTCAATAATTTAGATTTTTATTGAAAATCCACTAAATAAATAGCATAAATTGTGTTGCTAACTGTACTGATATTGTTGTATATGCAATTTAACAATTATCAGATATTGATATACAGTGAACCTATCTCTCAAATCTCAGGATGAGGAAAATGTTGAGATAAACAGGTTGTGAGATATAGAGGTTCCTACACAGTAAACAGTAATAGGTTTGGTTTGATTGGATGTACTGTATTTTATTAATACAATAGCAAATACAATACATACCTGTATTAGGTATTAATAAAACATTTGTCACACACTATACCTTAACAGAAATAGTTTCTGATGCCTGACTTTCTTCAACAAATAAGATGTAAGCCAAACTCTTAGTCAATCACAGAAAAACATCATTAATTGCAACTACATATTGTATTGGAAGGGATATTTTGCAACTACAATTTATACTATCAAAATGTATTCACTGAACTGTTAATTTATACCTGACATTTCAGTCTCTAATTTGAGATATAAAAGTTTTGGGAGAAAATCATTTGAAAAAAACATGGGAAATATATTGAATTTATGCTGAAAACATAGGGGATAAAATAAATTTCAAGATAAAGAGGTTTACAAAATAAACATATATGAGATAGACAAATTCAATTGTATAACTTGCAACATAGTTTTTTATAATGCTGAAAATTTTTCATAAAATAAGTTTTTCAAACTGACTTTTTGATATTCATTCATATGTATTAAAAAATGTAAATATGAGACTACAACAATATATGACAATATTATTGTTTAGAAGAGTTATATTAATAAATCACCTATTACACAGGTCAACAGTGGTTTTGGTGCCCAGGTATTTTGAGCTGATTTCATATGAATTTGATGTCCTGAATTCAAATATGGCATTAGTTTTTGCCTAGGAGCTCTAATTTTTAAGATATAGCATTTTAGCGAAATATATGTTTCAATATCTTAAGTTAAATCCATGNAAAGAGTTAAAAAGAAGAAAAAGTATATTTTAAATATTAATGAATTTAGTGGGGTTCTGGGACATTTCCTGAGCATCACAGATCTTAATCATCTACAAAAATTTTGTCATATATTTGAGAATTTGACCACCCCTGAATCTATTATTAATAAAAACTTTTCATTTTTTTATATATTGCTGTAACATTTCAATTAAGAAGTCCTTATAAGAACCTACATTACATTTAATAATACAAAATGTGATTGTAATGTTATATGTAGGCTACTTATGGAATGATTAAAATAAAAAATATATTTTCAATGACCTTAAAAATTGTACATATCAAAATTTAATAATGATAAGATTAAATTATAAATGTAAAAAAAATTTCGCATAACCCTGGGGATAGAACCCAAATCCAAAAGCTCTTCATATGACACTAATTAATGCAAGTTTATACATTAGTCTTCTGTTTAGGTATTAATAGTTCTAGTTTGGGGTCTTGATCAAATAATTGCAGATTTCAATTAATAAAACAAATTTATTAAGCGCTCGAATACTGTACAGAGTGCCAGCAGTGTCGTACACGTGGTCAGACAGACTGTCCGGGAGACAAAGACTGAAAACTAAGGGCACGGTAAGTGTTGCCAGGTTGGCCACATACTCCCTCCCCAGTGACAACGCTCAGGAACTTAGAAGGGAAACGTACAGTTCGTCCAGAACGAGTCGTCCGTGGAAAAGGTGCCTGGATTTGCGTGGTCTCATCCGGTAGGTGGTCGTTTCTATCGACAGGTCCATCGTCACTGTTGGAGAATGGCGAAGGGGTGGTTGTAACTTTCAGAAAGAAAGCGGGTTTGAGGCGGTCGATTGAAACAGTTTGCTTTCCTCGAGGTGTATCTAAGTCAAAGTGTTTCTCTGAGCGTCGTAAGACACGGAAAGGGCCATCATAGATTGGTTGTAATGGTTTGCGTGATGCATCATGACGCACGAAGACGTGTGAGGCAGTCATCAACTCAGGGTGTAAAAATATATTTTTAGAAGAGTGGTGGACATCTCTGACTGGACGAATCGACCTCATGTGATCTTTTAACCTGCAGATCAATGTAGGAAAATTATTGGCAGAAGTAGTCTCATGGTCAGCGAGGAGATCAGAAGGCAGTGCAATGGGTTCGCCGTACGTAATCTCTGCTGCTGTAGTGTTATAATTGGGGATGACATAGGATCTTAGCCCCAAGAGGATGGTTGGGAGTTTAGCAACCCAATTATCAGTCAGCTGAGCTCTCAGCGAGGACTTGAGCTGACGATGCCACCGTTCAATTTTTCCGTTTGCGGCTGGGTGGTAAGCTGTTGTCTTAATGTGGTTAATTCCCAGGGCTTTGGTGAGGTCAGCAAAAAGTTGACATTCAAACTGGCGACCCCTGTCAGTGGTTATAACACGTGGTATGCCAAAGCGTGCAATCCATGTAGAAAGGATTACATTGGCTATAGTCTCAGCTGAGATGTCTGCCACCGGTATGGCTTCTGGCCAACGTGAAAATCTGTCTATGATTGTTACTAGATAAGTAAAACCTTGGCAAGATGGCAAGGGACCCACTATATCGACGTTGATGTGAAAAAA